ACCTTGTCTTAGTCCTGCCCAGCTTTGTGTAAAGTACCTCCCCTAAATAAAACAGAGGCGCAGACCGACCCAGGTGTGCATTACAGCGTGGAGGGTGTGTTATACGGCTGGCTAGACATGCGTGGCTGACCAGCTAGCAAGGGGAACATACTGACCACATAGCTAAGATGTTTGCTATGCGGGATCTTACTGCTCTCATGGTGAATATGTTCACCACGCCAGATCTGCCAGACGCCAGTAATGCATCCACTCTGGTTTTGGGGTGTTTCTGTCTCTCTCGTTGTATCTCTGTGTCTCTTTTGCTATTCCTATCGCCTCCAGATATCCTCACCTCGTGAACCAAACATCTGTGTTGAAGCAGGTCCCCGGCAACACTCAAACAAAAGTAGTGGAGAATTCACACATTGTGCCCATGGAAAAGGCAACAGGGAGAATATATGCTGATGTTCTCTGATTGATTATCTTGTTCCAAGTTACAATTGCCAGCTGATAAGAATCTAACTCTGGCAGAGGGCTGAACTTGATCTGTTCAAGTTGAGTTTAGAAGAAAAATATCAGGTCGGATTTAAGTTGGGAGGATTCCCAGTGTATTCGAAACATTTGGAGAACTGGTGTGCTGTGGGTTAAAGCATCAGACTGCAAAGACGTTTGAACTGCAAGGTTGGTGGTTCAAGCTCACCAGCTGCTCCTTGGAAACCCTATAAAGGGTCGCTAGGGGTCAGAATCGACTTGATGGCACTTAACAACAACAACAACATATGAGTTTCTTTATTCTTTCTTTATTTCCCTTCCCTTTTCTTTCTTTCTTTCTTTCTGCCTTTCTTTCTTTCTCTCTCTCTCTCTCTCTCTCTCTCTCTCTCTTTCTTTCTCCCTCTTGATTTCAGTATATACTAAAACAAATGAAACCTCAACAATAGTTACTGCCATTTAACTTATGAATCATTTTCCTTTATGACTCCATAGAGCAAGTTTCTAGTTCTTGATTTTCTCTGTCTGGCAACAGCATATGTGCCTGGGTTAGGAAATAATGCTGGTGGTGTCCCAGGGGTCAAAGGAGAGGATATTGCTTTCTATGGGAAACTACAGGCATGACCGGGGTTACAAATGAGATTTGTTCTGAAGTGTGTCTTTAAGTGGAATTGGTAGATAAGTCAGACCAGATGTGTATGGCTCTCAGTTAGCCTTACTTTGTTGTTAGGTGCCATCAAGTCAGTTCCTACTCCTAACAGCCCTGTATAGGGTTTCTGAGGTAATACATCTTACAGAAGCAGAGTGCCTCATGTTGCTTCCATGGAGCGACTGGTGAATTCAAACTGCTGACCGTAGCCCAAAGTGTAACCCACTGCACCACCAGTGCCACTTCAACTTATTTCAGTTTAAGAAACAGAGTTTGAAGTCTTTTTAATGATTTCAAAGCTGTACTTGCTGCAAGTGAAGATGATTGTGCTGAGAACTTGCTCTGAGTCGGAGTTGGCTCCATCATGTCAGAGTGAGGGCAAAGGGAGAAGGGGAGTGGTCTATAACTTAGACAGTTGTAACCTGGGGACTTACTGTCCTTGATCAGAACTATATTTTGGGAACTTAACAATTAGGAGCCTTAGGTAGCTGCTGTTTTGTAGTAAATTGTTGGGTGGTCAGAAGAGTGGAAACATAATTTTCAAAACACCATTTGATGCAGGACCCTATCCAGAAATCAGCGACACTAGAGATGGAGGCAGAGATGAGGACAGGGAGAGAGTGAGCATCTAAGGACTCTGGACTCATGGAAAGAGAGGGACTGGGTGCTAATGGCCAGGAGCCAGGCTTCCAGAATGTGCCCTTTAGTTGTTTAAATTATTATATATTCCTGAGTATTTCTGTGTACATCCTCCACCTCCCCCCAAAAACCACAAAGGGAATGGAAGCAAATACTTTATAATGATGATGCATGAAGGAGATTGTAATCGTTGCAATGAAACACTAGTGTAAAGCCTCTGTTTTCTCATGTAAACTATCATTCAGAGTTCACAATAAAAATTTAAATAATAAATAAATAAGTGCAAGAAAAACAACAAACCCCCTTTGAAAAATAAAAAGAGGAAGACCCTGAATGACATGGCTTGACCCAGTGGCTGCAGCGATGGGACACAACTTGACCAGAATTGTGAGGATGTCACAGGACTGGGCAGTGTTTCACTCTGTCGTGTGTAGGGTCACAAGCAGTCAGAACAATTCAAGAGCATCTCACAACAACATCAACAACATTTGAAAAAAGACAGAACATCAGTTTGTCATATGATACCAACCAATAGTGATTGCTAAGCCCCTATGTAATGAATCAGAAAGAAGGAAGTGTTTCTCAGGCTGAGTCAGCTGTCAAACGAAACTGATACCCACAAGACACCGCTCCAGTTTTCTCTCTACCAGTACAACATGTGTTTCCTGTTATCTCAGACCAGCCCTAACACACAGGGCTTGACATTTGGTAGGTACCCAATAAATGAAGAATACATCAATGTCAGTTACATTGAAGAAAATGGTTTTATGAATCATATTTCATTAAGTATTTGCCAGGAATCACTTGCCTTTTTAAAATCCAGCATGCAGAGTTTGGCTTTCTCCCCAAACTGCCACTTGCACTGTGTGTTAGCATCATAGAGCTCCCCCGGCAGCTTCTCTGGATACTTGTATTCCTTCCCAGGCTTCGGCTGATCAGCAAGGCAAACAGCCTGGGCAGTCCTGCAGCAAAGAGAAGTCGGGGCAGCTGGTAACTTCCAGCACAGTTAGAAAGGATGAACACACAATTATGGCTTTTATTTTACAAAGTTTACCAAATGCTTCTCCTGGGGTCCAATGTAGCAACTATGTGAATTACATTTACTACAGAGCCCACAGTTTTAGAAGCCACCTTTTCTTCCAGGAACATAGTTTGTTCTTCATTAGAGTTCTCAAACTCATCACAGGGACAGGAGAGATGGAATAATTATGACCATATTTTTGACATGAGGAGCTCCAATTACGGACACCTTTAATGCACACACTATTTGCCAGGAATGATCAAAAGACAGAAATGGACATTTAAGAGTCAAAACAAGTCTGTTTCAAAGACTGGTAGGCTAAAGGACCGTGGTTGATATCGGACAGTTTCTAGAGGTTCCTCCTGGAACACAGCAGTGTTTTCCACCAACACTAAACACTCACGCTAATTTTTGACTCGAACTGCAGATTGAGAAGGACATCAAACCCGTTAAACACAAACAAGACAAAAATGAGACTGTTGTCATCGAGTCTAATTCAGCTCATGGCCACTCCATGTGTTACATAGGGGAATTGCTTCTTAGAACGCAGGATGGTGAGACTACATCACTCATATTTCACACCTATTGTCAGGAGGGACAAATCCTTGGAGAATGACATCATGCTTGGTAAAGTGGAAGGTCAGCAATAAAGAGGAAGACCCCCAATGAGATGGATTGGCACAGTGGCAGCAGCCATGGGCTCAAGTGCAACAACTTTGTGAAGTTAGTGCAGGACTGGGCCGTGTTTCCTTCTGTTGGACGTAAGGCCGCTATGAATTGGTACTAACTCAACAGCACCAAACAACAATAAACAACAACACTCGATGTAACCTCTGGGTGGTGCCGATGGTTAAGACACTGCCAACAAGGGTTGGAGGTTCTAACCTGCCTGTGATACAATAAAAGAAAAGCCTGGCTATCACTGTGTAAGATTTTTGCTGCTTTTGCTAAATACTGTCAAGTTGCTTCTGACTCACAGCCACCTCGTGTAGGGTTTCCGAGGAGCAGCTGGTGCGTTTGAATCACCAATCTTGTGGTTAGCAGTCCAGTGCTTATCCTACAACACCAAACACCACACCAGGACTCAATTACAGGCCTATTGTTTGGCTGAAAAATCAAGTCAATGGGGTGAGTTCAAGTTCAGGCCTGAAGGGTGACTAAGGACCACACTTGTGTTCCCTAACAGTTTAAAAGCATAACCAAGGCCCAACTAACTCCTTCTTCAGGGGCCAATCCCCACCTCCCCAATATTCTATACACTGAATGTGCTTATTTTTTAACAAATTATCTAAAAATATTCAAGTTACAATATTTCAGAACTTGGTTACAGTGTCTACTCTAGTTTTTTCACCAAATAACAAATGCATTTTATAAAAAATAA